GCTATTTGATGTTCAAACATCCAAGTGTGAAATAGGAAAAAGAAAATGAGTATGAAATGTATGTATCAGTTTAATCGCTTGCAAATGACATTCTTTTTTTTTTTTTTTTACCATATAGTGAGACTTATTAAGGCAGTCATGCCTCTAAGCATTCAAGAATTACTGAAGAAAAACATAAAATAAGGAATTAAAGATCGTAACTAAGTTTTTTATATAATTGGGTTACGTTACTGATTTTTGATAAATAGAAATGAGTAAATGATTCCAAAAATAACAGCTAGGAGTTCATCCATTCAGAATTCATTCTCCCAAATTTCTTGAGCATTAAACCAGGAGAATTAAGATGAAATATAAGACAGTATTTGAAACATAAGACTGTGGTTTTAAACACATGCTAAAACTAAACTTTCAGAACAATGGCATTCCAATATTTTAATACCCAATTAACCCTAATGTTTTACTGGGATAATAATATAGATGTGGTTTCATGGAGCTTCTTCTTATGTTTGTGACACAGAACCACAAAAGCAGCCTCACTGGATTTCTCAAAAGTCCTTGTCTGTGGCTGAAATTTTAATGAGGGAGGCTACATAAACAATAAAGAAAAAAAGAAAACTAGCTGTATCCATTAAGATTATTCCTTTTCCAACCTCTCTTTTATTTTTGTCCTCCAGTTATAGGCTGATGACAATAGGCACAAAAGAAGGGGGGGAGCACATTAGTGCTTAGCTATTGCTTTTTCAAAATTAACAATATTTTATAATATAAGAAAAAGCAATCTATATTTTAATACCTTAGCCAAGTTGGCTAGGATTAATTAAAGAGAAATCATTTTGCTGAAATCAATTTATACTTTTTAACTACTCATAATAGTTTAAATTTATTCTATTAAAGACCAACATAATGTTATTGGCAAATAAGGGATAACTAATTATCCTCATGGTATGGTGGGAAAGATCATTACATTTTTAGAAAATTCAATTACTACAGCATTAATTACTATTATTACTATTACAAATAAAGTCTATATCAAAGCTACATGACAACATCTTATTTGCACTACCCTCACAAAATGGTTTTTATTCTATATACCACATATTTCAGCAGTTCCCTTAGAGAATAAGGTAAGCTTCACAAAATGGTGCATAATTTACATCTTGTACTCACATCTTGTATTATTTGATGTAATAGAAAGTCATGAAAACTATCATTATACTATCAACACATATGAATATATAACAAACCTAAAATCACACACTATTTTTGTCACCTATAAAAAAGGAATGTTTTGCTAACAAACACATAGTAATTATAGATCAAATAATAGAAAATTTTGACCTGGAGAATGATTCTGAGACTTGTTTAAGAAAGTTCTTGCTTTTTCTTCAAGGAGTCTGACCTCGTGGGATGTTGTACTTTCTTTAACCACTTCTCAACAACAATCTCATTCCTCTCTTTCAGCTTTATTCTAAGAAGAAAAATTTGGAGGAAGAAATCTTGAGTTCATTAATATCCTCCAATGTTATGTAGGTAATGAAAATTAGAATATTAGAATTAGTGGGAGAAATTCCGATATTATCTGATCAAATTTAACATAAAGCCTGGAACTTCATAAGTTCACAAAACTATTTGTCAAATTGATTTTTTAACCTAAAATCTAAAAACGTCTAGATTTAGTTTTATAATTATACTTGAGCTAGAATATGGGTAAAATATTCACTTTGCATTTATTGGATTATAAATACTTTGGTTTCATTATCTGCAAATAAGTCTAGATTATAACTAGCACATTGGATCTGCTGAGTCCCTGAACTACATATATCCCTGTGAGTTCAGTTAGTAGAATGATAGGCTCATAAAGAAAGAGAAAGGCAGGAGATAAGAGAATGGATATTTGCTTTGCTGAAACCACTTATACATTCTTGAGAAAAAATCATACAAGTATGTAATAGGAAGAAAATCTGTAAAAATGAAAATTCAAATTCTAGTCTGTTAACATTAGAACTGACTATAGTTTTCTAATAGTAATTGATTGATTCTACTGGTAGTCAATAGAATTGCTTTAATTAGAATTCCTTTCATAATTATCAGTGTTTTGTGGTAATTTTTTTCAAATATTGCAAAATGGTATCATGATTATACTATAATCAAGGTCATGCCCCTAAATAAAAAAATGGAAAGAAAAATTAAAAAAATAAAAGAGAATTAAAACAGTTATTTTATGTCAATTAAAATTACAGACTTTAAAAAAATGAACGCTGATTGTTTACATTGCTTAAATTAATTACATTATGTCATCAAATTCTATATAAAAGTAAATTTATCTTCACATGATTCAAAAGTTTCCACACATCAGATACACTTTCTGTCATGCTTTATAGCATTCTCTACAAAATTATCATAATCCAACATATATACTTTACTGTCACAGAGGTATACTGCATAGAAAATCATCATGAAATTTCTCACATAATCTCAATGTGACTGATTATTGATATTAATAATTACAGTCACCATCATCAAAATCATAGTAGATTCAATAGATAATTGCATATCCTTTGCAGACATCGAAATCACCCCAATTCTTATATCAATCTTCAAAATAAGTATCATTATCCCAATTTTAGAGATGAGAAAACTTAGTCTACATGAGATAAATTATTTTGTTAGTGTCCAAGCTATTACTAATTTGCTCCATGTGGTTTGACTTCAAATGTAAGTATATTATCTCCCCGTCCCCATCCCTAGTCTACTTCATTTGTTCTATGTTCATTAAAAAAGACGAAGCAGTGAAAAATGTAAGTCACCAACAATACACTCAGAAGACTAGAATATTAAGTTTAAGCCTCATTGGAATAAGTGCATTTCTATGCACAGACATAAGCTGCTATATCATAAACTTATTGATTTGCTTACAACTTAAAACTACACTTAACTTTCCTCTCCCTCTCTCTCTTCCTCTTTTCACTTATCTGACAAATGTTAATACTACATTAAAATCAGTTTGGAAGAGTGAATGAAAATACAAGCACAATACATTCTTTATTATTCTTGCAGGAAAGCATGTAGCAAATGCAAACGATATTTATTTACAGCCCATATAATAAAACATACAGAAATTATGTAGCTATTGTGTTTGACAGTGGGCACTGGCATATAGTTCTTTTGTGCTTAATTTTGACATTTTGACATTTTCACTGAGGACTTCTTTCTATGTCAAGAACTGAATGCAAAAGAAAGTTCTACTTAGCTGAATGAAGAGTTCACAACTTTAAAAAAAATTATGATATGGAAAAATTGCTCAGCTTAGACTATTTCTAGGCCTTTTTCTGTAGTTTCAACATCATAGCAGTGAATTGGCATGAACATTTTTTTTTTTTTTTGAGACAGAGTCTCGCTTTGTTGTCCAGGCTAGAGTGAGTGCCGTGGCGTCAGCCTAGCTCACAGCAACCTCAAACTCCTGGGCTTGAGTGATCCTTCTGCCTCAGCCTCCCGAGTAGCTGGGACTACAGGCATGCGCCACCATGCCCGGCTAATTTTTTATATATATATCAGTTGGCCAATTAATTTCTTTCTATTTATAGTAGAGACGGGGTCTCGCTCTTGCTCAGGCTGGTTTTGAACTCCTGACCTTGAGCAATCCGCCCGCCTCGGCCTCCCAAGAGCTAGGATTACAGGCGTGAGCCACAGCGCCCGGCCGGCATGAACATTTAAGTGTAGGGCCTGATGCTTCTAAATCAGCTCTGTGTCCATAGACATATATTTCTTATTTAATTTTTAATACATTTGCTTATAGCTCCCCTTTATAACTGATATTTGTCATAAAATACTATCCAGTTATAGTAATTAATAGACAGGTGACAGACTTTTATGATTTAAAGAATATATAAATAAAACTTAATTTTTATGAATAAAATGTAACTATAGTTTTAGAAAATACATGTATACTAAAATGATTCCCTTTTGGCTGCACTACCACAAATAACATTTCAAAAATGTTTCATATACCTAGAAATAAACTGTACAGAATCAAAATTCATTCATGTTTACAAATCTCACATCGCAAAATTCATTCATGTTTATAAATTTCACAAACATATAAATTATATTTTTGTATAATTTGATGAGAAATATTGGAAGCATACATTCACATTTAAATGATGATTAATTTTCCTTTTAAGAATAAGTCCTCAAAATTGTAATTTACTTCTCTTTCTCTCTCTCAATATAGATATACAGAAATATAATGTAAGTGTCAGGTAATTTGCCCCACAGAGCTAGTAATTCTAAAAATATTTTAGCACCTACATGCATATCAAAACTTTGCATAATTTTACATAATTACAAGTGACCTTTTATCTGCCTTCTTATAAAAAATTGAATCAAACTCCTTATATTTGAATATGATATAAATTTATGAATTAAAATATTTATTTGATATTAGAAAAACTAATAATATTTTATCAATAACTTATATCTATAACTTCTAATGCCTATAAAACTAAAGTATTATTAATTTCAACATTATGTTCGTGAGTAACTGATAAATATTAATATTTCTTATACTCAACTTGTGAAATTTCTATTTATATAAGCAGATAATATGTATTAGAAAATTATTTCCCTAAAAAAGTATACCTAGACCTCATGATGTTATATCATCTCATATGTTTATTTAAGTCTATTTACTGTACTTTAACATATACTATGGAAACATTTGTTAGCAAAATGGCATATTTCATGATTCAAGAGTAATGAACAGCAAAATAAGGGGAATTCAGTCTCATAACAAGGCATTGATAAAAGTAATAATTACTAAATAGAGCAAACCATAGCTAGCCTTATGACACATCAAATCATGTGCAAGATAATTGGGATGTCATGAGATGTCTACTTATATATCAAAGAAATAACACACTTTTAATTTTCCCAATTAAAACAAGCACAGAGTCTCAAATGCAGTAAGATGGTAGGAGCAATCTTTACCCCCAAACACTCACCTACTGTCAGCTGTCCAGTTAACTGCCCCATGTGATTTCTTGCATTCACTGTTACATTCCTGTCAGACTGTAAGACCAGTGGACTATCCTGGGAAACATGTATAAAATAAATAAATCAAATAGAAAATAGAAACATAGCCAAACTTATATAAATTATACTGCATTTGTTTGGGTATTATCAAAATTATATTTCTTTGCTTTATAATAGTCAGTTATTTTAACATTCCAAATGTTGGTTGACAATATAAAAATATGAGTGCTGCATAATTACTTGACAGAAAAGGAATGTCAACATTTTCATAAGTGGGCATTTGCTATCAGATGCGGGCATTTCCAACTCTACTGATCGTTGGACATCAATAATGTAGTGACCCCTCTTCTGTCCCTCTTTCGGTATCATCCATGCGTATCTTTGTAGACCTTATTTCAATAGGGGAAGTCCCTTCTTAAGTTTAACTTGAAACTTTCAGCTCTCAGCTTAAATGTCACCTCCTCAAAATTGCCTCATCTGCTCACTGTAGCTACAAATTCATTTCATCCCAAACCTCTAATCTCCATTTATTTTGTTTAAAGTACTTATCACAAGGCAAATTTATTTTTCTGATGTATGTATTTACTTGGGTTTTGCTTTTTTTAAATTTTGTTTTACCTGATTCTATCACAAAAAGAAAAGAAACGGCCAGGGACAGGGACCATGACAATCATGTGTATCCAGTTATACCCCACCTGCTTAGCATTCTGCTGAAGGAAAGAACTTAACAAAGAGTTTATTAAGTGGAGAAAAATATCTACATAATAATATTGACACTACCTTATTTTCTGACCTCACGTAGAAATACTGTGTAAATCATATTATGGTTTATGTAAGGATATATACAGGATATAAGATGTTTGTTTGGAATTCTCTTTTAGGATAAGTAACTGGTTACATGTTGACTTTAATCATTAATTTAGCATATAACAGTAAAATAGTTTAACAAAGAACAATACCACTGCCTTAAGAACCCATATATTAGGCTTCAGCTACCACTTGCCTTAGACAAGTAACTTACAACTGCCTGTATTCTTATTTTTATAATCTAGGACATAAGTAGGGTGATTATTTATAAATATTGTTCATTCATTCATTAAACAAATGTTCCCTGAGCTCTCACCATGCACAATGCAGGGTTCTAGAGGTTGAGACATTTTAGCGATCAAAACGTAGAACACTATGTTCCATGCAAACTTGGAGCTTACATCCTGGATATTGAAATTCTATGAAAATCTCTCCCAATACCATCCTCACCTTTTACGCAGTGTATCACATCTATGTCAATGTCAATATACAAGTGCTTTCATATATAAGCCATATAAAAGCTCTTTCAAGATTAATATTTTGAATTTGGAATTTTGGATATGCATACAAAGACTTTATAAACTTTTCCCCAAAGCTCTCTTTGTCCCCTCCTGGCTACATGCAAAGCACTGAGCAAAGATACGCACGCATGTGCGCACACACACAGACACACACACACACACGCACACGATTTTCTTTTAAAAGTGGGGTTTTGCTATTAATAGCATGTCTAAACTAAGACTTTTTAAAAAGTAATTTCCCACATTTTGAGGAATATATTTATTTTGTAAAATGAGATGTAGTTGAATAAAAACTACTAAAGTTCATTTCATTCTCTGCCTGTATCTTATCACAACTCAGTTCTTTTGACCTCAAATCAAAAGTTTTATTTCTGAAGCTTTAAAAAAGTAAGTCTAGCCCTTTTTTGATAGGTACACTGATGCTTCAGACATTCATCTCTGAAAATATACAAGGTATTTTAAATTAATTCTATCATATTTTTCAAGTGGTATGTCCAGATCCTGTTTAAAGTATAGTTTATGGATTAAGGACTGTGTGCAAACAGCTATGTTATCCCATTAAGAATACTGCTACCTCTGGTAATGCCACAAAGAGGACGGTTCATATAAGAACACACACATACACACACACACACTCACACACACTCACACACACACACACAGACAAGATTGTCTTCAATTTTGGCAAAATTTAACCTGAGTGTTTAAAAGAGGAACTGTGAATTAATTAGAATAAACTTGAATGTAAGAAAAAACAAAAGTCTATAAAAACACTTGCAGTTCCAAAAATTGTAAAAAAAAATATGGGTTGAATTTGTATTCACATTCTTTCAATATTTGTATGCTATAACGTATATGACTGTTGTTTAGACTTTTAAAAATTGATGAGACCATGTTTTCATTTGAGTTACTAGAAATATTAAACCTAGATTTCTGTGAACACCAGAAAAGTAAAATAACATAACCATTTTTATATACAATTTATGGATTATGTAAGTATATTAGACACATAATTTAAGGACTATGTAAGTGTATTTTAAGAATTATTGCTCTATTAAATATATTATATAAAAGAAAAATAAATTGAAAAAGGCAATGGGTATTTCATTTGATTTAATAAATAAATAGATTTGGTAGAATTGAAAGATTAATCATTATATATCTTTGTTTAAAATATAGCAATCTACTTTTACTCTAACCACAGGGATCCTGTTGAATTTCTATCCCTGGCACTCTTCCCTTCCCTTCACCTTATTCCACTAAATTTACCCTCAGAATTAAGTTTTTATATCCAAATTAAAATTGTACTATGACAGCAACAGCAATTCTTTTACTTACTAAAACTATAAACATGTAGCTATCAAAAGTAATGAGCAATTCTCTGCACTGTGTTGATGTGGACATCAATATATTATTAAGTTATACTGATTTGTTAAAATGTGATCAGGTAAACTGAACCAAAACCAACTGCCAATTTTTGATAAACAAAATACAATGCCTGGGTAAACAAAATACAATACAATGCCTGGAAAAGTATCATTTTCATTGACAAATCACATAATCATTTCTTCCTTGTATACCTGTGCAGTGATATCTTTTGGAATTAGAACCATTGCTCAGGCAAATTATGCCCAATACATGGCACAATATCCACTATGTTCTAATTAAAATACACACATATGATAAAAATATGTATGATGAGAAATAATGGAAACTCTTTCAATCATCTAAGGCGGACATAACCCTAAGCAATTTATCAGTCTGATACCGAACATATTTTTAGGTGAGAATCTGTACAAAGAAACTACCTCTCACCACAAAAGACTATCATTATAAGAAATGTTTTCCCCAAGTGAAAAATTGAATACTCATTAGGTTTTATGTCTTCTTTCTTATGTTTGTTTCTCCAAAGATCTCTATATGAGAAAATAACTGACACTAATATTTTACTGCTTTCCATTCTCTTTTTCATATTCTTTTATATTATATTCCTGTGTTCCAAAACTTGAAAGCTAGTATGTAGTTTCAGATATTAACTTAATTATTAATTTGTAATAGAAATAGCAGTAGCAACAATAGCAGCTAACATTTATTGGTACTTAATCAATGGTAGCCACTGTTCTAATTACTTTACATATATGAGCTCATATATTTATAAAACTTAAAAGAAATTCACCCATAGAGAGTCAAGATAAGAAGTGCTTGTAAGACAGAGAGGGGACTCTGACTATACGAGTTCAAGTCCTGAGTCTGGCAAACACTGACTGCTTGACTTGGAAAGTCACTCCCCATCCCTGTACCACAGTTTGTCATCTGTAAAATGGGCTCATAATTATAATCTGTGGGCTGGGTATAAAGATTAAATGAGCAAATATATGCAAAATGCATAGATCAGTGCCTACTCAGTGCGGAAGAAACTATTACTGATTACTTATTATCTAGTCCTCATTTTAACTATAGTACTTCACTAATAATAGCACTTAGTGCCATCAGTTTTTTTTTCACAAACAATGAAACTTATAGCACTGAGAATTTGTCACTTGTTCCAAATGACACAGCTAATAAATGAAAGAAGCAATATTTTAACTCTGCAATTTGCATCCAGAAGCTACTGTTTCTTTTGGAGGTCATTTAATTCTAGGCTTTTTAAATGTCAAACCAATATTATAAAATAAGTACAAAATTAAACTGAACAAAATGTACTTTAAAATTTCTTTAAACATTTTAGTGTCTAAAAGAAATCTCTTATGTGTGTATGTGTGTGCGTGTGTGTGTTTATATTTTGTTTAACATACACCATCTTAAAATGTAAGGTACAACCTCTACATCACTATCTTTTAAGTTTTGGTAACATAGTCTGATTTATTTTGTTCATTTTGTTTTCTCAGATTCTAGAGGATAAGTATGTCTTTTAAACTGCCCTCTGCTCACACATTCTAGAAGGCACCTCCTATGCAAATCTCCCTACTTGGTATTTTGAAAAGAATTATCACTAATAGCCCATTTTGTTCAATGTAGATGGGCTGAATTTGATATTTCATTACCTGAGTTTATATAGGGTACCAGGTAAGTTTTCTTTTCTTCAGTGATGGAAATTACAAAATTTGTCAACCAACCCACATTATCCTCAAATCCTCAGTATCCATTCTGCTGTATCAGAAATATTTCTGAATACTTTTTTTCTGTTTTTCCTGTAACCAGTCATAAAATAGATTCAAAAGAGATACCATGTAATCAACTAGAAACCAGGTGGCCTTGGTACCATGATATCATGGTATCATCCTGAAGATTGAGAGATGCCATTGCTAATGGCAAATTTGATGTTTGTTGGCTATAGTAAGACCAGCTGTTGCTGCTATTCTCTTCTCATAAAAATATAAACTCCCTTAATGAAAAAAACAAACTCATGTCACAATACCACTTCCTCCTCATACTGATTCTCCATATCCAGTGTTATTTTCAAAAGTATTTTAAAAACAGAATAATGGGCTCCACATGTACTTGCCATAAAATTGGTACTGACTGATTAACACTATGGTGCTCAAAGGGTGGTGGTGTTCACCAGGGATTCGGGGATTCTGAGGGATGTGGTGAGCATTGTGGAGGGGAAGGGCATACCTCTAACCCTTGCTAGAGAGAAGCAAAGATATAAAATGTAACCAAAATATATATAAAAAAATTATCAGGTGTTGGGCAGGTGGGAGCAAGGAGTGAGTGCAATGATGCACA